TTTATGTTCTTAAACTAGAAGAAGTTGGCAGAAGAGACAAAGCCGGAAAAGAAGGAAACACAGTGTTGAACAAACATCCTCTAGCCGTAGACTATGACCTAACGCCGTGATAACGATTGTTGTCAAAGTCTGAGCTTTAAACAGACTCTGACTGTGTTACTCAAACACCGTACACTGCTGAAAGGCAAAGTTAGAACGAAGACGAAGCCGAAAATGATAAATTGGAAATGGTTTCCATTCTTTTCTCCCAAAAGACTCTAACTTTTCATTTGAAGAGGTAATGCAATCTAGCATCAGTTTTTTCTTCCTTCTCATCTATTTCTTTCCCTCTCTATTTTTAGTACTTCTCTGTTAATCAATTTATCTTTTCAGCACTCCAAAACCCTAGCTTCTTGTTGTTTTGTTGAAAAAATTTGTTCTTATCCTACACCAGAAACTACGCCTTATTTTGTGACTATATTCGTCTTTCTTTCTAAGTGATTCGTGTCACCGGAGAAAAAAGTGCAACTCTTTTTTTTGTCTAAAGCAATTTATTTCTGGTGGTTTTATTTGTGAATATATTTATTTACTTTTATATGTTTCAGAGTTCCATGGATTTTAGGCATAGCATTTAACTGAGCATTTCTTAGTGTTGGTTTTGGAGTGGATTCCGTGTTGCACTTTCAACCGAGTATGAATGCTTGGTGTTACACTTTCAACCGAGTATGAATGCTTGGACTCGCATTTATAAGGACTCGCATTTATAATTTATGCTGTAGCTGTTTTTGCTAATTTATTATGGAGTCGTTTTTTCTAGGACTGGTGGCAGTGAGAAAGGTGTTGGTGTCTTTTTAGGGAACATGTTCCATGGTTGTCATTATTTTACCTGACAGAGTCATGTTCATCAAAGCTTTTATACTGTCTTGTGATTTCTAGGAGGGTTTCAGCTGTATGCAAATTTATGTTTAGGACTGTCTTCTCCATAATTCCATAACATTCAATAACTATCCCATAGTATCTATTTTTTAATTGGCTTTTCTTGTTTGTTATATAAGTGCTTTTAACAAATTGAAGAATATGTTGTGATGTTCACGGATGGTTTGGTTGCACGGAAATGAGATGATTATTTTGTTGTTTTATATTTAGAGCTTTGGCATCTGGATGGTTTTTAATACCTGTTAACAGTAAACTGAATTTAATTTAATTTTCATTTTGTTTATTCTTAAAAGGAGGTAGGATTAGATTTCATTGTTGGAATGTTTGGATTGCTTCTGATATGTAAGTGGATGTGTTTTCTGCATTCCCTGGTCTTTAAGTTACCTTATTTTAATTTGTATCTTTGAATGCAAGATAGATTGACTGTTGTGTTGTGTATGCCAGCAGTTAACATGGGATCAGCTTGTTGTGTTGCTGCAAAGGATCAAACTATTCCCAGCAGGACTGGAGGTGAAAGTTTACGTAGAAATGCTGTATGTTCACCATTATGGAATTTTCGATGGGATAGTTGGGGCCGTGTTGCTAGAGAGATTGAGAATCCTTCCTTTCACACATCTCGCGGAGTCAGCAGAAATGCCAGCATGGAGTTTAAAGGATCATTGAGTTCTGAAAGAGGCCATTTTTCTGATGGGGGAAGCACCTTGGAGAATTCTGTAACACCTACATCTCTGAAGTCCCCTGTTCGTGAGTATTTGGCTAGAAGTCACACGACTCCATTTTCAGGTAAATTTTAAGTCTACTTGTGGGATTTACTTGAACAATTAGAACATGACAGTTCCTCAAATTAAAGTGGTTCTGCTGATGAATAAATTAGTTTCGCTATTATCCTCAAATATTTTGTGCTCACTTTCTCAAGCTTCACTTTTTGTCTTTCCAACAGAGGCAATAGGGAAAGTTTTGGTTAAGTCCTCTGGCTGAAACCCAACCCAACTTTTGGTTTTCTTTTTCTGTACCTTTCGCTATACTTGTTAATAAGGTTGTGTAGTGGTGTCTAGAATTGCTTAGGCCATTTAGTGTATGTTTGGTTTGGCGTGATCAAATCAAAATGTGGTCAAATAATCCACATTAAAACAGAAGTTACTTTGAGGAGTTTATATTTTTCACATCTAAAACATGGATCCAAGGCCCCAATATGTCAAACCAAACATGAACTAATATTAGTTACAGTATCTTCTCCAACTACCACACAAAGGGGAGAATTGAGGATGAATGTAAGGCTGAATCGGTTATATCAATATGTTCCTTGCACTTCATTTTTAAGTAGCATTGATGGCTTAAAAGTTCATTTATCAGCCATGTCCAATTTAGATTCTTTTTCTTTTTGAAAATATAATAAAGATGTCTTTTCAATGTTACTGCTTTTTAGTTTCTTTTTCATAATTTTATGTTTGCTAGGATCTTTTCCGCACAGTGTTATTCTTTGTAGCACGTATCGCCTTACATCCTGTTTGTTTCCCCTCTCTAAAAGGTTTTCTGTTTTGGCGGCATGTGTTACTACTACCTGACATCCGGATGAATATGTCCTCTGCTTTGTGGGTTGATGTTTTTTTGTTTGGGATTTCATTTCTCATCTTCCTCTATATGCTTGTTGCAGATATATCCATGACAAGTAATTGCTCTGCAGTGGTGAGTTTTGAACTGCTAAATTTGACAAAGAAATAAATGTTCATTATATGAATTTCAAGCCATTTTACTGCATCGCACTAGCCTCACTCTATCTATATTTCTCCTCAGGTGAAGAATCCGATCGAATCACCTGAGATTGCAGAATGTTCAATACCAAATTGTTCAACATCTCCAGTTTTCTCAACACCTACCATAGATATAATGCCTAATCATAATTATCACAATCTTCCTACCTCAGTGCCATCCAGACGGGCTCATCGTTCTCCCGGGTACCCACTATCGAGACAAATCTCTGATAGTCGAATTCTGGGTCTGAAATCACCTGACACATCAATTTCTGAAGGCAGACCATCGTTTGTACTCTCTAATTGCAGCAACGATATGGCATCAGGATCCCAGTGTGGTTCATCTGATGGCTGGTCAATGCGCACTTTTTCTGAAATGGTGGTCTCATCTCAAAAGGAAAGGTGGTCTTTTGATAGTGAGTATTCAGGTTCAGGTCGTCACAAGATGAGTGGAACAAGCAGCAGGTTCTCGTATTCTCCCTCCATGGACGTACAATCTTGTGGGGCTTGCTCCAAGCTCTTGACCGAGAGAACTGCATGGGGTAGCCAAAAATTTATGGGCAGCAGTGACCTCTCAGTTGTTGCTGTACTGGCGTGTGGTCATGTTTATCACGCGGAATGCTTGGAGACTATGACATCAGAGGCAGATAGTTGCGATCCAGCTTGTCCAATTTGTATGATTGGAGAGAAGCACTTGTCAAAGTTATCCAAAAAGGGTCTTAGGAGTGAATCAGAGACCAAGGCCAAGAACTATAGAATATCTAGAAACCGAGTAGTTGACAGCTACCTTGATGGTGGGTTAGATGTTTTTGATCGCCTAAAAGACGTGGTTTCATAGATGGAGCCTAGCTCCAGTAGGAGACCTTCGTTTGGAAAGCCCTTCTTGAGGCGACGTTTTTCATTGGGATCAAAGTGGAGTCGGTCCCTATTGGAGAATGATTCAGTTAGGAAAAAGGGCTTTTGGGCCAGATACCGCAAGGACTGAGCTTCTCTAGCCATAGCTTTTAGTCGCAGCAGTTCTTTTATATGCAGTCTAGCTCTAGTAAAAGTTTGGAATTGTTTTAGATATATATTTTGACTTGCCAGCAGAAGTTACCAACCGTGTTGACGTGCTTCATACAGAATGAGACTTCCTAAAAATCAGAGCCTAGCACCGACGAACACAAGGATGCCAAAGGACACAAGCTTCGCCTGGGTGTTGTAGAAACACTCGTTCTTTCTGCTTCAATCCACCTTTTGCGGCTTAAAAATCCTTCTAGATAGATTGAAAGTGAAAGAAATCGTTCCGGTGGGTGATAATTTCAGAAACTTGTATTCATGTAATTTTTTTAATTAATTTTGAATTAAGCAAATTTTAAAAATAGCAACGCTTGTTATTCTTTGCAAGAAATCAAAATAGGAAATCAAGGTAGATAATATCGCTAGTTAAACGAATACGTCTGTTCAGGAAGACATTGGCAGATGAAGATTGCTTGAACGCCGTCTGTACAGCCGCAGCCGAGATTTGAGGGCACTTAATTCAAGAAATGCATATTTTCGAGGAAAGCTCTTTTGTTCAGTTTTCTTTTCTTCGAAAACAAATCTCTTTGCAGTTTCTAAATTACCACAATTAATTAAGCGCAGTGTTTTTACAGAACACGTTACTATAATATCAAGAACTATATAATAAAAACCCATCCATTTTTGAAATTTATAGGAGCAAATAATGTACAACTCCGCTTACCCCTTTTCTCCTCTCGAAAAAAAAACTCGTTTTAACGTCTCTACATTCAATAATAACATCCAGAAAAGCAACACCATACAATTAAACGGGTAGCTATTCTGTTATTTAAATAGACAATAAACCGATAATCAATTCAATGTGCAAAATTAAGCAATTTTAATTTTTTAGATATAAAAGAAATTGTGCACATGAAGATCCAGTATAACATGTGAGTCACACTAATACAATCCAGATAAAAGGGGTTCGGAGGGGCAACGATAAAATACGATTCAATTGAACATCCCTTTACCGTTTGATTAAGTTATCCTTCCAAATTTAAAATTCGGATAACACAAACCATAACCCAAAGGGAAAATCACGCTTAGCTCTATGAATTCAGTTTACTTGCCCGAGGTATTTCCAACTCCAGATGCACTGCCTAGATATATCCATGGCTCTGCAGGAATTTTGCATAGATTCTAGTCTTTACCTAAATCCGCATTGTAGTGTGCACTGGATTCAAGTTTCTTTGCCTCGTTCAATTTCCTAACAGCCTGGAACCAAAGTAATAAATAAAGTTATTGTCCCCTTAGATAACAACGAGATAGATCTTTCGTAACCATCAATAAACAGGAAGTTTACTCACTAAACAAGGAACTCACCTTCATAAAATCTTCATGGATCACATAATCACGCTCAGCACGAATTGCTGACATTCCAGCTTCTGTGCAGACATTTCGAAGATCAGCCCCATTAAATCCCTGCGCAATTTACAAATACATTAGACATGCACCACATGTTAACAAAAGCCACTCAAGAAGTCAAGCCAACTGCATTCACCTCTGCAAGCTTCACAACAGCTTCATAGTCTATTTCACCATGCTTGGCGATTCCAGCAGCATGAATCTTGAGAATTTCCATTCTTGATTGCTCATTAGGCAGAGGGATTTCTATTTTTCTATCCAATCTTCCAGGACGGAGGAGAGCAGGGTCAAGTACATCAGGTCGGTTTGTAGCCATTATCATTTTAACCTACAATAGAAATGTAAACAGCAATGTTATCATGAATCCACCATTAAAGTTTCGTTCAACAGTCATTTTGCAGAAAAATGACCATGTCTATGAGAATACTTGAAAGAAGAAAACAGGTCAATGCTTTTATATTTATTTCATTTGAATTCAATATAGAAAGTAATGAACTGTCGTTCTTAACATATTCCATACCATAAAAAGCATGTAAACGACTGATTTTCTACTACACAATTTCATTATCGCCAGGCCAAGAAATACAGCTCTTATTCTTTTGGTAAATGGTCAAACACTATAATTCATGACACGATTTGATAGTCCATTTTCCATATTAGAAACAATTCAACAAGTGAAAGTAAAATCAGAAGCTAAAAATAAAATCACAATAACAAAATGAAATGTATCTTAACATGTGGTCTTGATGACTTAGCATCCACTCACCCCACCCCTACCCCACCCAAAAGAACAAATAACAGCAGAATAACATCCTTTTCCTCCGGATTCTGATACAAGGGAGGTTCTCCAAATACAGGTAACATCGCTAGCATTTTTTGAAGTTCAACACAAAGTTATAAATCTCGTGACTACATGGCTTGGATACTAAAGATAGAAGATGCATCTATATCCAGTATATATATTTTGGAATAAATACTCATTGCCAAAAAATAGCTAGATGTATAATCTACTCATGTCCTAGCCAATTCAGTCCCTCAACATACTCTCACTTTTGCACTCTTGTCCTATGCAAAACCATCGCAAAGTACAACAAAGTTTCACCCACACTGTACAACGACGATGACAGAGTTAATAAGACATGGATTAAAATGAACTCAGGTTACTTTTTTACTGTATAAATATAAATAGAAAGTAGTAACAGGCTTGGTGGGAGTGCATTGACAACTATAAATGTTATACAATACTTAATATATAAAACTATCCAATTTATATTCCTTAGTTCAGTACCCTTAAAACATTGGTTAGAATTCTCCATTTTTTTATTTAATATTCTTAGCGGCCATGTTTATAACAATTTCTTTAAAAAAAGACGAATTGCATTTTGAACAGACTTACCACAGACCCACCACCTCCACAAAATAATAACAATAATAATAAGTAAAAGAACTGAAGTTCCTTAACCCCGGAATTTGTTGCTAGGGATAAAGCTTTTCTATAGAGGTTAGTTAGGTTTGACCACTTCTTTTAAATCAAGTTTAATGGTGTATTACGAATAAAATACCTTTCCAAGTTGATCAAATCCATCAAGTTGATTAAGCAGCTCCATTAGGGTTCTCTGAATCTCACGATCAGCACTTGTTCCCTCACTGAATCGACGACCACCAATGGCATCAATCTCATCCATAAAAATGATGCAGGGCTAATATAGCAAAATACATACTTAGATTAACTTTTAATTAGTATATGTAAACATACAGGAAGACAAATTCACACAAGCATCTCACCTGATGATCACGTGCATAGCCAAACATCTCCCTGATTAACCTGGCACTCTCTCCAATGTACTTATCAATTATGGCGCTTGAAACAACCTACATCAGAATGAAGGAAGGTAACAAATTTTACAATGAAGAAAACTTCAAAGCACATAATTGACAAAAAAGAAACATAATCTAACCTTTAGGAAGTTAGCATCAATATTACTAGCAATTGCCCTGGCTAACAATGTTTTACCAGTACCAGGAGGACCATAAAGCAGAACACTCTGAAAAATATGTATTGAAAAGATGTTGCTCAAATGTAAAAATTTAAAAGTATAGCTATTACAAATAAACTTCCACTAAAAAATATGTAAAAAAATGACATGACACAGATACTATCTGTCTAAAATAGATATTAACACTAATAAAGGTAAGAGACTAAAACGTGCAGTGAAAGGTAAATCACCTTTGGTGGTTTAATTCCAACTCGTAGAAAGAGCTCAGGATTCATCAGAGGTAGTTCAATGGACTCCCTCAATTCCCTTATCTGATCAGACAAACCACCAACGGCTGAGTAGCTGACATTACCAGGATCTTCATGCAGCATATTGTACACAACGGGATCAACCTGGCAACTCAAACGCGGAGAATTAGAGACAATAGAGACCGCCGGGATTAAATAAATCTGATGAATCCCAACAAGACAAGAACATGTTCACAAAGTGAAAATATTAAAATGATAAACTGTGACTAGACTTACTTCACGAGGAAGTGCTCGCATTATGGTGAGTGTTGTCATATCCAGAACCACCCTTGTTCCAGAAGTCAATTTTTCCTTATCAACTTTACTGCGACAGCCAACCACATACCTGGGACCGCTGCTTGCTTTAACAATCACTGATAAAACAACAACAAACATTCTATAACCAAAGGCTTTCGCTTATGTTTCTATCAGGAAATAGACGGGAAAAATTACAGGGTAATTAGCTAGGAAATTGAGCAAGAAACGTGTTTTGTATTTGCAAGAAACAAAATTCTCTCAAGGATAAAGTCGGTAACAAAAATAGAAGAAAAAAAAAACTTAAATGTAACTCAATGTTTATAAATCTTTAGGTTGGCAACAGAATTAAAGAATGAAGTCAAACAAAGGGAAGAAGTTACATCGTTCATTGTCAAGAGGCCTGAGAACTTCGCCAATGATCTGCCCAACACTTTGAAGAGACTTCAAATCATCTTCTGTTTTATTGAACTCTTTCTTTGAAGCACGCAAATTCTCCCTCACTGTAATTTGTGTTTTCAAGGTCAGAAAGTCACCAGACTCGTCTTATAAGGATTCAAGTCCAAAATATATATATGACAAAGTAAAGGAGTTGTGCCATTATAAAGGAAACATTTAATGAAACTTGCCATAAAATTATGAGCTACAGAGAGTTTCCATTTTTTGAAACAATAAAGGGCAGCAGAAAACAGATTGTGGCTTATCCATCAGTAACAATGCTAAAGATATAACGACGGTGTCCTCTCTGACTAAGAACCGTGTCAATATTTCATCACTCAGACTAGGGATTCACTTATTTCATCAAAAGAACCCCATTTGATTATAACAATAGATCCAGTTGATAAAGAAACCCTAGTTCCCAGAAGATGATGCAAAATAATCACAAATAAATTTCTTCTAGGTCAGACTCTCAACTCAACCTCACCGCATAATTATTGTCCCAGAAAAAACATAAACCTAACCAAGGAATATAATAGGGTTGCCCGAAGTCAAGCAAATCTATAAATACAAAACCCTAAAACTATGAGGATCGAGAATAAGTGAAAATTAAAAGCATGGTGTAACTTTAGAGGCTATTAAAAGTGAGAGAAAAACGATAGACAAACCGGATCGGACTCTGGATTCCAGTTCCTTGTGCTGAAGAAGTTTCTTTCTATACTCCGCAACCGCATTACGGCGTCGTAGGGCATCCTCTGCCTCGGCCATCGCTGTTGCGCTTCAAAATCAAAAGAAGGAAGAAAGAGTGAGGTTGGTTAGACGAACTCGGACGCCGAAGCAGGACGGAGTAGCTCGAGTTATGTTGTGACTAAGGAAGCCTAAGCTGGCACGTAAAGTGACGCAATTTTAGTATTTTACAACTAACCCCCTGTATTTTTAACTAAATCACAAAATTACCATTCGTCCTACTACAATTTAAATTTTAAATAAATAATTTGTCACTGGCCAGTTTTTTTTATTGAAAAAAATAGTGTTGTGTGCTCGATTTATAGGAATTTAATTTATTATTTATTATAAAATAATTATACAGGATAATCTGGACAATTTTATTACTGTGGTCTATTGTGATCTATATAATATTACAATTTTTTTTTAGGTTGTATATAAGTAATAGGAAGTTTTTGCTAGAATTATTATTAATTGAATTTAGTGAAATTTTCGCCCAATAGGCTACTTGGAGAAAAAAAATAATAGTAAATACTTAAACATGTAGCGTTGTTGTTTTACCTTTTTAATAACTAATATTTGTCATCATCAACCAATACTACTAGGGAGATAAAAAAAAAATTAAATTGATTTATTGGTTCAATAACATTATAATCATAAGTTCAATTCAACTTTTTATCCTATTTCCGTAAATTAAAAAAAAACTTAATATTTAGACAGCTTAAATATTAGCATATTATAGCGTGTGATAGATTTTAATTTGACAAAATGAAAGAAAAAGTGACGTAATTTTATAATAAATTATGTCTTTATTTTTTTAAAAAAATCCTTGACGAATTTGTGAATCAGTTCAATTATGTACAAGCTTTGAGTATCAGGTACTGAATCGACCCATATACCCATACAAGTAACAAAATATCCATCCTAATTTTTTTAAATTATTTTTTAATTCTTATGTGCCAGCATGAATCGTGTCAGAACTTTTCAAAATTTAACAAGGAAATGTTCCAACAACTTTAATTGTTTTCCTTTTTTTTCACCTACATAGATAATGAATGATACATATCGAATGTTTTTTTATCAGCAAATAGAATTTGAACGTGACTTCAAAGGTATTTATAAAAAAAACATTTTAAAAATTTACAATAGTATAAACACTTTTAGTATATTATATCTTTAACTTGATATTACTTTTTATTGTCATTAAAAAATTTCTAATTATTTTCAATTTTACACCTATCATTTTACTATGATGTTGTCATATATATATATATATATATATATATGTATTTCTACATACTACGAGCTCATTATTATAAAGCTGATCCTACCATAAAGTCGGCACCATAAAAAAAATATATGTACCAACCTAAACCTAATTGAGTTTTAGCATAGTATTTTTTTGGATGCTCTGGTAAGACAGATAAGTACTACTATTAGATGTGCAGTATTTCCAATAAACTCTAATTTTTCGTTAGATAAAAGACAATTCTAATTAGTTTAAATTGATGTTAAACTCCCTAAATAAAGAGTAATAGCCACTTCATTCAACCCATTTTACATTGATTTCAACTAACAATAAACGAGTGCGTGTCCAAAAGAGTGCAAGAGACTTCCTCACATTCGTATGGTATTAAAGAACATTTGGATATACAATCATTCTCACCGAACCGATCTCGTTTTCCTGTGGAATCAATATACAATTTAACAGATAATTACCTAACGTGGGTTAATTTAATGTCTATTGCTTAGCCTTCCGTAAAACTTCCTTCAGAACCAATGCAATTCTCTGCGACATATGGTGCTCCATAAACCTCTCTTTCACCCTCTCATATCCTTTCTTTCCCATGGTCAGCCTCTTCTCAACATGAGTTGCCAATTTCACAATGTTCTTTGCCAGAGGTGTCACGCCTTCTCTTCCAGCAGGATGCAGCAAACCGGTTGTCCCATTCACCACAATCTCCATCGTGCCTCCAGCTGCAGTTCCCTGGAAAAGTTTTTAATGAACAAACATGTTACCAAAAGAAAGATAACAAAAATAGACAAGCACATACACGTTTGCAAAAATAAAAGAAAACAACAACTATACGAGCACACACAAGTTTGCAACTGTATAGATTCCCAAACTGCAGTAAGCAAGTTGAAACAGTTGGAAGGCAAAAGTATATCTTCTCCGATCGAAAATACAAGCAAACTTAACTAATGTTTGCACTAATTAAGAAAGTTAATTAACATTGTTTAATTTTACTAATTACATCCAAAGAAATTTTTTTTTCTTAAAGTACTCTTCATTGAAATGATATCAAGAATAAAAAAGAGCATTACAAATAACATCCCAATAGATTAGAGGATATTCATGGATTCATATATCATTAAATAGAATGAAACTAGTTCATATTTACTTATATTTGAGTCCACCATTTTTTTTTTCTTGCTTGTAAGTTGTAATTGATCACAAACATTTTACTATACACGTGATAATAAATTTAAAATAAAAAGCATAACTAAACATCAATATCGTGAAACAATTAAAATTTCTCGTGCTCTAATTGAAATCACCAGCAGTTGACTACGAACAAAAGCTACCTCTGACTGCAAACAACAGTGACAGTACACGTTAGCCCAGCACTGGCAGTATACCAGCTTCCTATTTGAGTAAATATCACTTTCTTGATAAAAATTACTTGTATAAAGCCATAAACTAAAATATAATTCTCCCCGATTTCAATGACCACAGAAGCCTACCTTCAAGCAATTTCGATAACTAAAAGGTGGAGGTAGAAGATTTAGCAAATTGGAAGTAATGAAGTGACAAAGGTTGACAAATTCAGTTGAACAGTGCAAAGGGTGAAACTTTTGTTAGCATAAGTTATCCCCATAATTTTTTCTAATGTTAGGATTGAGCAGAAAGCTGTTTTGTGTTGTATCTATATGTAACCTAGCATCTTAGGGGTTTCTTTTTTCTCTTTCCCTAAGCTTTAGTTGTAAGCTAGTTAAGATCTCTTAAAATGCTTTTTCCTCACATTTGTCAAAGATATGATCAAATTATAATATTCAAGTGAGTGTAACTCTAACTTTATAAGGTTAAGAACGGTGTGTTATGATCCCTTATTGACTAGAGGTATAACAAATTATAGTATATAAAAAAAAGGGTGCATGCCTTATTCTATAAACTGATTTTCTGTGATCAAGTTAGGCTTAATTTCTAAGAATATAGAAGAGATTTCAGACAAGTGAATAAACAAACTAACAAAAGTATCATATAAAACTGAATGAAGAGTACAGAACTAGACACATATAACTGGAAAGGTCATATTGACAAGGCCACTATAGTATGTACTAAAACAAATACCAGTACAGGCAGGCGAAATGCCATTGCTTCAATGGTTATCCTTCCAAAACATTCTCCCCGTCCCTGATATGAAGAGAAGCACATTAATTAATGTATCCTAAAAGCCAAAGTACAGAACATAAACACTACAAATAAAAGCTTCAAGTCCCTTACTGAACTTTGACTTGATATGTTATGGGAGTAAAAAATAGATCGATGAATGAATAAGAATCTTGCTATGAGCAGAAAGATTACAAAATTAAGGATTTTTACCATTAATCTATATTTTTACTATCCTTTTGCAGTTATATTGCTACTTCCATTTTTCAAAACAACAGAATGCAATATATATTCGTTTCATAATCAACTCAACAGAGTATACATCAGTGGATACCTGAGAATTTTGAACAAGAACATCAATAGAAGCCAGGTATGGAGCCACAGCCAAGGTTTTGTTCACAAAGTGAACACGGTCCTGAATCTTGTTCTCAATAACAAATTTGCGCAGTTCCATTTCAAACTTTGTCTGACCACTAAAATCACTCCCCACTACTACAGCATGCAAAGATGGCAACTGGAGTTTCTTCTCCTGGATAAGTTGCAAACTTTCATAAAAGGCTTGAAGAAATAGATTCTGCCCTTTACCACGAGAAACACCTGCAATAATATCACCCTAGGACTCAGATTGTAGACTGGTAAAAAGATTATCAACATTAATACAAGTGTGTGTGTGTGTGTGTATGTACAATGAATAGTGAAGGATTAAATTAGTGCACAGAACAAAAAAAAAGTTAAACTACAAATTACAATAAACAAGATGTTAACTGGGTAACATACCTTGCTAACAAAACTAGTCCAATGAACTAAAATGAATACTGGTAATGATCATTAAGGAGAGAAATCATACTATTTATGATGGCAAAAAGTAGATCATCATTTCTCACTCCAAGAGATTCACGAACATGCTCACGTAGAACCCTCTTTGCTACACTATCTTCTGCAACTTCCATAAGCTCCTTGCTATTTCCAAGATGTACAACAAAGGTTTCAGGCATGTTAATCCTATAAAGTTGGATCAAAGCGTAGAGTTAGAAACTTGACTCAAATTATATCACCAACACAGAACAGGTAGCAGTAAAGAGCTATCAAATGATGTCAGAAGCATACTTTAAACGCTCCTTAGTCCTATTCTTCCAGTATTCTGCAGTTGTATGTGAATCAATCATGACACCTGCAACAAAAGGGAGGTGCTTAACATATTCCCCGTCGAAATAATGCCCTCGCATTTCATGAATCCACCATAAAACCTTTGGAAGCACCCGTGCAACTTTTTCCTTGAGAACGGCATCCAGCCACTTCCCAGCCACAGCCGTGTTTAGAATGACTATATCTGCTTTAAGAGCTGTATCTATAGCCTTTTCACCTTTGGCAGAGAAGACCTAAGAGGAGTCAAACATGTAAATAAAGGATGCACTTAGAAGTCCAATGACACATGGATACAAAATGCTGGTCTAGACATTTATTACATGTCAGAACTAATAACAAACTCAATCAATTCAAGAACAGAAGAAACGGGTGCAGAAAAAGTCCTCTCTTTATCAAATTTTTGAAGAAATAAATGCTAAATTGAAATTGTGTAAAGATATTTGAACAAGTTTACAATAGCATATACAAGTTCTAGAATCTCTAGTGGATATATGTCTATAGCCAGTTATAAGGTTAATAGGAATAGTAGATTAATTACATGTACTTTTGTAGTTTAAATACATGCTTGCTCCTATAGTTTACCTTGATTTTGTTTTTTTGTACATATA